CACACACACACACACACACACACACACACACACACACACACACACACCTCGTCTATAGAAAGCTCCAGGAATAAGCATAGTGCTGAGAGGCATCCCAGCTTCTCTGAAGACCAGTTGATACATTTTGGCCTCCTGTCCAGCGGTGAGAGTCCTGTTGACTGTGCGCAGCATGGGATGCATGGATGCCTTTAGCCCACGTGGTATTTGCACATCTTAATGCCAGGGACGGATCTGAACGCATCACACTGGTGGACCGTTGACGCCATTACTGTGACAGTCTGCGGGGGTTTGGGCATCTTGCCATTGTTATGTCTTGCTCTTTGTTTTTATGTAAATAACCCACGGTGTTTAGAGAGATACACTGATGGGATTTTTGCAGTTTTTCCTATCACTGTCAAGTATCGACAGTAGAACTTATTTATACCTACATTTGTCGCTTATTCGCTAATGCTGGGACTTCCTGGTTGGGGGTTAGTGTTACTGTTGCTGGAAATGTATACACTTGAAGCCCACCAGTTGCTGACAGGCTAGTGACATAATTGAACACATTGTAGACTACATAATATTCAGAACACAGTAAGCTAATAATAGACAGGGAGATCACTGAGAAGCTATGGATTCTTGCTGATGAAACAACTTCAGTTATTTCAAGCCTGTATACATCCCTTAGGCTTCTAAATGGCAAGCCATTTGCCGCACACAGGACGGTGTCCCACAGGTAGGAAGGTGAATGAGAACGTTCATCACTGAGTGCAGTACAGAGGAATAAATACAGAGTACTAAAGTACAAAGTGCAAGCCTGCTTGGGCCTCAGAGCCTCTGATGTTTGGGGAGGACATTACAAGGAGTTAAGAAAATGATGTTTAACTAACCTTACAGAACAAAGAGTCAGGCAGCTCTGCGTAGATGTGAGGAGTAGGCTGCATATCCAGACATGAAGGTAAGAGGGGTACAGAATGTTTGACCAGTGTTAATGCACTCTGTACCAAGTCTCAGGCAATACTTAGTTTGTTGTGTGTCCACTGAAAGGACCACCATTGGTTTTCAAGGTCCTGCCTCTTAAAAGATTCCACCACCTCCCATTTGCACCTCCTGCAGACCAAGCGTTTTGTGTGGATCTTTGGATCTTTGGGGAGACGTTCAAGATACAAACCATAACAGGGCTTTTAGTAGGTGGGTGGTTCTTACAGGACCCCTGCCCTCACTGTGAAGTGTCTCTCTTTCATGTTATGCCATCTGTAATGTGATCCTCACCGGGTCGAAGGTGACACAAGGACCATGCCCCAAAATCTGCAGCTCCTGCAGAACTAGATGACTCAGGTATTTTGCTATCACGTCAGAGAACAGAGTAATAATGCCTAACCCAAACTCCTGACTCTGATAACTGAGGAAATTTGCTTGAAGAAAGATTTTTTTTTTCTTCTTTGCCTAAATGAATTTTAAAAAGTCAATCAGCATTTGTCACATAGTAGTCTCTTGAAAAATATGTTCCTGAAAAAGTTCTCGACTAATGGATAATAGTAGCTGGAGACAGGGCTGCCCATCATCAGCCTGGCACTTTTCTCTGCTTTCTAGGAGGCTTGTGAAGAACAAACATTAGCAGTGATATGTTATGTCACAATGGGGAAAAAAAGAGCATGTTTCTAAATAATGAGGTAGTGAAAGTTTCTATGGGGGGGGTGGATTTAGTAGAAAGAAGATGAAAGGAAACCCAACATTGCTATAATGCAGCAGAAAAGCTTGGTAAGCAGAGGGTGGTTTTTTTTTGTTTGTTTGTTTGTTTGTTTTTTCCCAGGATGACAAGCATTTGGCTTTTGGAATTTAAGGACCTTCACGGCCTGACTGTTTCTCTGGGAGCCAACATCACAGCTCCTTTCACAGCTTCTGTTCCCTGTGTCCACTGATCGCCTCCTCATAGTGTCTTTGTCACTTAGCCCGGGTTATGCTGTCAGATCCCAGAAGCTTGGTCGAGAGGGGTCCTTGGAAGGTCGTCTAATCTCTTTCTCCTTTTCTAAGAAGAACTACAGATTACAGAGAATAGATGATAATAAAAACCAAGCTTATTTATGTCTCTTGGGCCAGTGTTAACAGTTTGTCCTGCTGGCTGGAGAGAAAAGGGGTGAAACTTTTAATTAATCCAGGCAGGATCAATCATTAGCAACAGGAAGCAGGATATGAATGAAGGCCAGCCAATAACAGGTTCCTGTATCTCTTTTTCTCTTTAAAGTTTCAATCAGTTCTCAGATAATGTGGGCTCTGGACCATATTTCAAAGACAGAGTTCAATTGCAAGAGGATAAAGACAGCAGCAGCCTGACCCTCTGGCTGCCCCAGAAGGGACAGGATAAAGGAAGATGCAACTGCAGTGCAGAAAGTTAGCTTTGAAGTCTGTCCCTCCTTCTGCCTTAGCCCTGGAACACTTACAGGGCTGTGGAAGGAACAGAGACCACAGCTGTCCTCTTGCGTCCTTCCTGGGAAGCTGAGGAAGACTTGGCTCTCTCTGAGCTTCATTTCCTCATCTGAAAATGACTATTGAATCTTGTTGGAAAGAAATGCCACAAGAAAGAGCAGTCACAAAACCCACTAGGTGACAGGCATCACGGGCGGATGCTAACAAGTAATTCCCCACCACCCTTCCTCTTCTCTGTATGGCAGGCAAAGTCTTCGATAGACAATTATTTCATTCATAGTTGCTCACCTTCCCAAAGCATTCTTCCTGCTTCTTCTCTTTAGAAAACACACTGTGCATTCAGTATAAAACATTAGAAAACTCATTTTAAAAACATGGTTGTTATTCAGAAATTAACAGTAGAGCTCTTTAGCACCTGGAACCATTCAGGAAACATCTAGTATGAATTTTGCTGTTGGACTGTTTGGATGAGGGTCCAACACTTGACACGCTTGGGATTGTGTCTGTCAGGTTTCATCGTCAATGCCACACCCCCACACCTCCCATCACTTACCACGACATTTGCACGTGCAATGTAGGAAGCTATGCTGTAGTCTAGGTGGGAAGCAGGAGCAAGTCTGAAACTATAATCTTGGCTTTTAATAGCTAAGGGCCAGTCCCGAGCCCTGTCCCTAAGAATCTCTCCCTTACTTGCAAAGAGACCTGATCAGGCATGTTCCTCTATACTCCCTCCAGCCCTACCGCATTGCTATGGTGAATTTGGACTTTATGTATTCCTATTTTATTTTATTTTAATTATTTTCTGCCCCTAAATCCAGTCACATATTTAAAAGCTGTAGCCATTAAATTTTACGAGATGTTTACCTGTCCATGGAGGTTTCCGTAACTTAGATTTTTTTTTAAAAAAATGCGTTTGTTGGTATTTTATGTGAATATATGGGCTTTGATCATATTCACCCTGTTACCCTTTCTCATCTTCTTCCCACTCTTGCTGAACCCAGTCTTCTACCCAAACAAGTCTCTTTCCTACTTTCCTGTGGTGGTTTGCTTTTGCTTTATGTGTGTGTGTGTGTGTGTTTGTGTATATGTGTGATCCATGCAGTTTAATTGAGATTGATTGTATGTGCATGTATAGGGGTTATTTACTGTAGGTGCGTCTTTCATGTACGCATACACACATAGATACACACACTCGCACAGGATGGGGGAATTGGAATTGTGTCTTTTCTGAAACATCAGTGGTCTAATTAACCTAAAGGTCAGGAGCAGGCATCGTCAGCACGTGCTGTTTGGGCTATTCACCTGGCATGGAGCTCTTAGAACACCC